GGGGGGGGGGGGGGGGAGTTGGAATATACATGTCTGTTTTTAATATTGATAACCCTATTATGTCAACTTGCGTAAGTTATTTTACAGGCCCAGAAAAAGGAACACCAAAATATTCTGAAATAATTCTGTTTATATTTTTGATAATCTTACATCCGTTTCGATATGCACATTGATAACTGATTTTAATTTTTGTCACCGAAAATGCCACGTAATTAAATGGGTTATTATCGTAACTAAATGGGTTATTATCGTAACTAAATGGGTTATTATCGTAACTAAATGAGTTATTATCGTAACTAAATGGGTTATTATCGTAACTAAATGGGTTATTATAACTCTTTCTTTTTTATTTCAGGTGATAGCCGTGATGTCTGTGTTCTTTATTTGCGTGTCCATCTTGTCCTTTTGTCTGAAGACCCACCCAAACATGCGGGTTCCGGTTATTGTAAACAAGACTGTCAACTTCCCGCCCAATCTAACAATGTGGACACTAGATAAAACCAAAACTGATCCCCACGAGGCCTTTTTCTACATAGAGAGTGTGTGTAACTTATGGTTCTCGTTCGAAATAACTGTCCGCTTTATTGTAGCTCCCAGCAAGCTAGATTTCATTCGTGCACCTATCAACGTTATCGACTTTATCGCAACCATGTCGTTTTATTCAGACATGCTGCTCCAGAAGCTAGCCTCCGACTTAGAAAACGCCGACATTCTGGACTTTTTCAGTATTATTCGAATTCTTCGTCTGTTTAAACTTACTCGCCACTCCCGTGGCTTAAAAATTCTAGTCCACACGTTTCAAGCCAGTGCAAAGGAGCTGTTTCTTTTGGTGTTCTTCCTCATTCTTGGCATTGTCATCTTCGCCAGTCTAGTTTACTATGCGGAAAGGTTACAGATCAATCCTGTCAACGATTTCACTAGCATTCCAGAAGGGTTATGGTGGGCCATTGTTACCATGACAACCGTTGGCTATGGAGACATGGTTCCTCGAACGTATGCAGGAATGTTAGTGGGTGCTCTCTGTGCATTAGCCGGTGTACTGACCATTGCCCTTCCGGTTCCAGTCATCGTTTCGAATTTTACTATGTTCTACTCTCACACACAAGCAAGAGAGAAGCTGCCCAAACAGCGCCAAAGAGTTCTCCCTGTGGAACAACCACGAATGCGGCCAAGAATGGTTCCCCAGCAGGGACCAGGTGCCCACCACCGGAGGATGAATGCTATTAAACATCACCATCCAGCCGCACTGAAGGACTACCAGAGTAAACCAGGTGAGTGGGATGTTTTAGGTATCAGTCTTCGTCAGCATGCATATGCATAAAGGCTTAAGAAGTCTAACTTTTTAATGTGGTTACAGTTCCTAATTAGTATTACCCCAAGAAAATTGAAAATTTTCATTAAACATTCCCAATTTCTCCTTCTAGTGTAATAGGCTAGTCTTTTGAAAGAACGGTATACAGAAATTATATCAAATATATAATTGACTCAATTTCATACTTTTTATTTGTTGAAACAAAGTTTACCAAAGACGCTTTTGCTTCAGCAGATAAAGTACAAGTGATAGTAGTGTGCGCTGCATCTAACCAGTGACGTGTAATTTTTCACATATGTCTGTAAATCATTACAGCTCCCAGTTACACATTTATCTTCTATGGGTTACCAAAAGCTATGTCTAAGTGATGGATCCTTTAATAAATATCTCCTCACACTCGTTACATTGCGTGTCTTGTCGTTTAATTTGAAACATGACTAAGATTTAGATAAAAAATATTGTATTGCAACTTAACTGTTGTTATTGTCTTCTTAATTAGAACAGTTAATATTTCGAACTTCCTTTTATTTTCCTCTGCCTTCTATTTGTAAGAACCGTTTCATAGTCAAGCTCCCATAAATCTATGCTGTTTTCGAAATTATTATTTATTGTCTGCCATATGGTGTTCTGTTTTGTTTTACTTCTAGCTCAGTTTAGCATTTTCATGGTTTTTCTTCTACCTTCCTAATTCCTTGATATCTATTTATCGTTATTTGTCCTTCTCTTGAACAAGATCATATATTAACTTTTGTAATTTTTTATCACTTTCCATTTCTTGTTTTTACTTTATTCTTAACGTATTGATTTCATCGTTCTTTATTCTCACATTATTTGTGTAGTTTCCTTTCATTATGTTTTTATTTCTATTTTTATCAACATATTCTGTTCAGTGATATCGAATAAATGTTCATTTGTTTTAATGCCTTTTCGTTCTCTTTTCCTTTCAATTTTGAAAATTATTAAAATATTTTTGTGACTATATTTAAGGTGAGACGATAATTATCGGTATATACGACTTAAATATCATCGTCCTCGGAATGTTAGATATATCAGAAGGTGCCTTTATCTGTACTAAGAGATTGATGGTTAATATGTATCATTATCACTTGTATGTCTCTCTTGGCTTCCTGGTTCCAAATTATTTCAAGTGGGTCCTGCTTAACACATACCAACTTTTACATCGTTCCCATCTTAGAACGTATATATGTCACTTCTTAATTACCGGGTATAATTTCCGCAAAACGCATACCGTGAAGAATCGTGATTTATTTTATCTCATAAGTAATGTTGGCCATTAGTTTTAGATTTCTTAACTTAATGTATCTTTTTATAGAAGGTATTTAATGCTGAATTTGTTACCAAGAGGTTATGTCTTCAGTGAAGCAGAATATGTTGCTTAAATACAGATTAAATAAATATTATCCATCACGTAACAGCATTGAGGCAACGCATAAAATTCTATTGCACTAATCAAAAGATATTTAATCAACTAGTCCATACAGAATGTGAAACTGCTACATTTATAGCTCTCAAACATTCATCATACTACGGTTGATTATCGTGTTCTACATATTTTTGACGCTTTTCTCTTAACTATTAGACTTTTACAGAGTTTCGTAGGCCTCAAGTTGTTATTTTTGTCTGAATTTTATAAAATTAAAGTATGTTATTATTCTTTTTTTTTTCTGAAATCAACTCCTTTGCTTTGAACTTAAAAGTGTAGGCCCAAAAAGATTATTTCTATCATGTTAATGTCTCCTGTAACAACTCAATCAAATACATTAAAATAATGTTAAATTATTATACATCAATATTCAATTAAGTACAGAAAGTAACTGCCATGAGCCAACTTAAAATATTGGGTGTGCAGGTTTTCATTTATCGCTTTTCTATTTTCTTTTTCTATTATTGGGATGTCGTTAGAGGTAGCAATGCGTTTGTTGATCACTTGTAATAAGAGATTTCGTAATAATCAACTTACTGGTTTACAAGCACATTTTTAAAAGTCACTTGTCAAATCTAACTAGAAAAATAGAGAATACGTTAACTCTTAATAAAATACTTAGTTAGACTGCGAATACATGGAAAACGAATGTTAAAATGAGCAAAAAATAGCTACGATTCTAAAACTAACTGATATATTGAATCTCAGAGAAGACAAGTGTATTAAGATCCAGTAAAATCTAATAGGTAAAAATACTTTCAAATGTGTTCTGTTACCCATCAGCATAATGGCCATTTTAACTTTCGCCTTCGTCCGTTAAGTTTTTACTTCTAGTGGTGCCATCTGTTAGGCATTTATAAAATTATTTCTATTATTATTATTATTAATTTTTGCAGTATCTTACATTGGAGCATTCAAACGAAAATCATCTAATTGTAACCATCAGCACTATTTACTACAATAATTCAGGTGCTGCTGTAAAAGACTTAAAATCAGATTTTGTTACACCCTTCCCCTGTTAGAGAAAGTTTGATAAAGGGAAATCCTAGATTAATGCCTACTTTTATAAGGTATACTACTTGTCGGGACTAGTCAGCAATCAAAACATTAAAATATTGTGTTTTGTAAGGGTACTTCAAAAAGCAAAACAGTAGTCAAGAAAACGCCTGAGACTTCATCAATTTGTATATTCAAGCAATAAATTATATTTCTTTAATCCAACTTTGGTCTCGTCTAGTTAGAAATCAGTTTTCTTCTCTTTAAGTGATCTTGAAAGTGCAAAAATAAACACTTAAATAGGTAATTGCGCAAAAATAAGTTAATACATAAAGATTAAATAAATTATTTGAAGTTATGATTTCACTAAAGTTTGTTTAGATAATCGTAATGTTTCGTCACCTGAACACAATAAAACATGTTCAATCAGCCGTTTCCCAATTTTTTTACTATGTGACCCCATTTTCAAAGATATAAATTTATGAGACT